TTATCTTCTCCGGAAGAACACTAATCACACTATCTTCTCCTGGAAGAACATAATACAATTTACATAAATTTATAAAAAAATTTGTAAACGAATCATTCCCTTATATATATATATATATATATATATATATATATATATATAACGCGCAATTCATTGAAAAAACAAAGTACGAAAGCAAATCAATCTTGCTCATAGCGATTAAGAAGATATTAATATTAGAAACAATATTTACAAAAAGTATTTTTTTTAAAATATAGGCTAACATATCTTGAAAACTGTTTAAAACCCAAGAAAAATTTAATATTTATTCACTTGAAAAATAATCTGAAAATACACTTAACTTCAATACAAGTTGAATTTTGATGTATTGAGAATATAAAATAAATTTAAGCTATTATTCAATAATAATTAGTCGCATCATTTAACAAAGGATTTGCTTTTTCTACAGTCACTGCAGATAATTATCTGTAGTAAACCGAATACGACATCGTTTTAGATGGAAATCATAATATTTTTATAATTTTAATTTATTTCAGGATTATTATAGTCTTTATAATTATAATTGTTTAATCTTTAAATATGAAAACGACATCGTTTTAGGAGTAAATGCAGATAACTTATCTACAGTAATTGTAAAAATAATTTTATGTTTGATAAATTGACAATACACTATGTAGCACCGATACGATACACGCCACGCGACACGACACGACACTCTGACACGTCAATCCTAAAAAATTATGAATTTCGACACGTTGGGACATGTTTTAATATTAAATAATATTTTTTAATTTATATAGTGTATTAATATTTAATATTTTAACAAAAAAATGAAACTAAATTAATAATACACATCAACACGTTATAAAGATGGAAGCTTTAATAAAAAAACAAGAATTGGGATGAGAGGGATATAATATCAGATAGAGAGATCAAATCATATTAGAGAGATCAGAGAGAAGGAGATACAACAAGAGAGCGTGATAGAAATTGACAACAATGATGCTGAGATGATCTCTTATCTACTTAAGGGGATAAAAGACAAAAAAATAAAATTGATATGATCAGATGAAAGCTTTATTAATATATTTTAAAAAAAAATTAAATTTTTTTTTTAAAAAAAAATTTAAAAAAAATTACGAAAATGCCATTTGACCGTGTCGGACAAGGTCAAATTCGCGTGTCGAAATGGTCAACGTGTCGGAAAAAGTTGATCGCGTGTCCGACACCGTGTCGAAACGTGTCGGACACGACTCTCCCTGTTTTTACAAGTGTCCGTACTTCCTTGACAATACATTTATTAAGTAATGTAAGAATAGTTCATGAATAATAATATGAGGTAGGATATTGCTTTTTTTGCAATACAATTTTTTCATACAATTTTTTTCATACATTTATTAAGTAATGTAAGAATAGTTCACGACGTTGTTTAATATTAAAGGGAATCACGTGCGACGATACAGCAAACGGGACATCCTTCTTATATTGCCTGGTTCAAAACGTATCAATTTTAAATATCAAATCTTTTAAGAATTCAAGTTGGATAGTGATGGATAACGTTACGGGTGTTGAATGAATATCTCGATCCAATGTATCATAATAATGTTTTTTTTTTTTTTTTTTTTACAATTTATCTAAGGGAATCAACTCAATTATTAATTCTTAACAAATTATAATTATTAAATGTAAGTTATTAATGCTTGATAATAGGTTAAAAGTTTTTGAATATTATCCACGTGTTTGGTGATGGACTTTTTAGAGTTAAATCCATATAATTTAATTCTTAATTCTTTTCCTTTATATAGGCATAAGAAATTAAGTAATACATATACATATGAAAATGGATACTTTTATATGAACAAGTCATTTCAATTATTCATAATACAAATCAATGGTAAGAAGAAAATGATAATTTATAACCAGAAGGTTTAATATATATGATCGACTTAAGTCTAAATGGTCTTACTAAAAAACTTGAAATCAGTTTCAATGAAAAAATAAAAGATCTTGCTTTGTTATTGATTATACGGAAAAATGTTTCTGCAGTTACTGCAAAAGTTATCTGTATTTATTTTCAAAATGATGTTGTTTTAGCGTTGAAAAATTAAAAATTATAATTAGAAAGACTATTATAATCTGAAATAAATTAAATTATAAAAATACTTTGATTTCTGCTCCAAAACTATGTCATTTTGGGCTCAAAGCAGATAACTTATCTGCATTAACTGCAGAAAAAATGAACCCTTGATTATATTAGTTAATATTTAATTATTAAAATATATTAAAATTATATAAAATAAAATTTTAAATAAATTTCTTAAACACATCTTATTATTCCGGAGTTATCTTTATATTTTATATGTTTTATTTAATAAATAAATTATATATATTAAATATAGGTTTAGTGTTTCTTCAATCACAAAAGATAAAATTATTTACTGCAAGTAAAATAATATTATTTTAGAGTCCGAAATTTTTTTTTTGAAAGAAACTCATACCATAAAGCCTGTTGGACTCAAGCTTGGGCTCATACATAAACAACGTAATTGTGCAGTCTCGATCTTGAAAGACTGTTGCATATTCAACATCCCATACATCCAAGAGAATTCTGCAATATTTTTTCAAGAATTTGTCAATTGGACTTAATTCTACCTACCAGGTATAATATCTCTGGATGTCAACTCTTATATTATAGATAATAGGACCAACTTTTCTCTACAATAGCCAGAGCACCAACTGCAAATGCCAAATAACAAATAACAAAATGAATCTGTCAAACAGCATGTGGATCCTACATATTTGAATGCTAAAATGAGCTGACAAGTGACAAGAATATTTGGACCAAATGTAGTGAAATAATTCCAGAGTAGTATAATCTTAGAAACACTGTTCTTGCCACTCCAAGTCTCCAAGGAAGTGAAGGAACCAGTAAGCCCCAATCAAAAGGTTCGAATGGATCACTATTAGTTGATTCATACTATTCTCCGTCTTGTTTCTCTTAACGCTGTCCACCCTCTCTCGGTTTATGTTCGTATATGTTATATGTCAAACCTATCTTTACATTTTGATGAACGCAACCGTTACATAATAGACGGTTTCTCATACTTAAAAATATTATAAAATTGAAATTCAGGAATAACTTGAGAGGGTTAGGCATGACTCATATTTTGCATTTGGATGATTATTTTAGTTGACGGAATGCATAGAAAATCAACCCAAGTTTGGTATTATTGTGGATCTCATATTTATTTTATTTTTTCTTTGGACTTAGACTCAAGTCTCATAAATAACTATTTATAGGAGAGTCTTTTGTAACCACGACTGGAATACAGTTAAATATATTACAATCTATCACAATCACTTTTATGGATGTGAGATAAAAATCAAATCAAACAGTTACAAAATTCTATTAAATGAGAACAGTTGATTTGATTTTGATAAAAAAAAAAAAAATGTAAAGAAAAAGAAGTTATAAATATAACCTTCATATTTTCTTCCCCTGTTCTTTGTTTGGGATTGTGTGTGTTCCGCTGACTGATGAGAGAGCCCTGTATCCCAATGCACCTAGCTACGGGAGTTTCGTCAAGTATATATTCATATTAATGAGTCGAGGACAAACCGTCGGTTTGATGAGGAATCTATTTTGAGGCCAAGAAGGGTCTAAAAGCAACAAAAATATGGTTTTCATTGTGAAGTTAAAAAATTGAGTATGTATTACTGAAGTAGAAACTTAGCTGACAATAGATTAAGATTTTTGGATTTGAATATTTGGTTGTTCAGTTAGAACTTACTACAACACAAACCACTCTAGACTATTATGCCTTAATGATAGTCATCAATGTTCTCAACGCCAAACTTTGCATGCTAAATGCAGAAAATCAATTCAATCCGGCGGCAGCCTACGCATGCTTAGGAATAAGGAATGTTGTCGTGGGTGGAGCATGCATTGTTCTTTAATCTTTACAAGTCCATAATTCACATGAGCGGCCATATTGATGACAATAATGGTCCCTCCAGCTCAAGCATGGCAGTGCAACATAATCTTTTACTTTACTTGTTTCTGCGTAGATTGCGGGGATTGATGCAGGTTAGCCTTCAGACGCAATAGAAGAAGCAGAGGGACCCTCTTTCGGATTAAGTTTGAATGATTAAGCTGTCATGCGAGTGGATTCTAATACATCATTAGGGACACCATTATAGGCTGCAATCATCATTGCAACGCTGCTGAGGATTATCACATAATATCGCTTTGAGAATTTATGCAGTTTTGAAATCGCTTCCTGTGGTGTCCTCCTAACCTCTTTGATGTGACTGCCCCCATTTACTTATCTAGTTATACACTGGACACTCTAATTGATTTGTTTGATTATTGTTAGATGAATTCAAAATTAACTACTCTTTTTTAATTATTGATTTCAAATTGATCCAATCATAATAATAAGATTGGTAAGCCTAAAATGGTGGTAAATAACCTTTCCCTAAACTAAACTTGGAAAAATCAATGCTGCTTGGTTGGTATCCTTTGAGAGATGAATCAATTCAATACGAAAATTCTTAAGAAGAATAATTTTCTTCGTGCAAGCGAATACCAATGTCAAATGGTTGTAGGTTACCATGCATTTGCTTTTTCTATTTAAATAACTTTAACCGATACTTTGACCAATCACCTACTCCACTTTTCATGATTAATGTAGTGCAACTCGATGTGTAGAGGATATTGCTGGAATTTTCCAAATGAACTCATCATTTGAGAAGGGCGTGGATATACAAACTTTGGGATCATAGAATCACCTAATCATTGTGCGGAATTACGGATCATGTAATTGGTAACCAGGTTGGCGTGGCTGTGTGCGGAGCCCACAAGCAGAAAGTGAATTATGCTGAACTTTGCATTGTCACACATAGAGTTTCTGCTTTTGTGTCTTCTATTTTCGAGAGCTATAAAACTGGAAGCCGTAACGAACTTGGAAAACCACAAGAGCACATGATCAAAGGCCACCATGGGTAGTGGCAGTGCTAGTGTTAGCAATCTGAAGAACGCCATCATAGCATTCTTGGTTCCTCTTCCCTCCATCCTCTTCTACCTTTCATTCCTCTCAGCCATTAACGGTACTGTTGCTGACCCAAAATCTTCATCTTTTTGGTCAATGCTGTGGGGATGGTGCCATCACCACCCTCTGCTATTAGCCAATGTCCTTTTCTTCTTCAACGTCAATTTGCTCTTTTGGATCATCGGCACAATCCAATCCAGCCATTGGGTATAGTTTTCTCCTCTCTTCTTCCTTCACTTCACTCATCTTTTCAAGTTGACATCTTTTGCTATTGGTGATGGTGCTGCAGATGATTGACCCCTATTGGACAGTGATACCTGTCATGCTTGTTCATTACTATTCAGCTCACCCTTTGGCTCAGTATCATTGGTGGAGGTCGAGGATCGTGATCTTGTTAACATGGTTGTGGAGTATTAGGCTCATCCATAACTACTTCAGACGAGAAAAGTGGCAATGGGGTGCAAGGGAGGATTGGCGTTTCACTGATATGAGTCAACAGTATAAAAGGAATTGGTGGTGGGCTTCCTTCTTCGCCATCTACGTCCCTCAGCAGGTCAGCATTTCTTGGTGGTTTTGCTTTTAGATGAACCCTTCTTGATAGATTTTGCCTATTTGCTTTGATTGCTATGACATTGATATGGGTGATATTTTTGTTTTTGTGTTTCTCGCCTTTGCAGGTTTTTCTTATTGGATTATCACTTCCTTTCTACGTTATCCACTCGGTCAATCAGCCCTTGAGCATGTGGGACTTGGTAGCCATAGTTGTCTGTGTATCTGGCATTGTCATAGCATACTTTGCTGATACTCAGCTATATAACTTTGTGAGTAGAAATGACAAGCTAAAAGGCCTAGATAAACCCGTGGTCCCTGTACTTGACAATGGTTTGTGGTATTATTCTCGGCATCCAAATTACTTTGGTGAGCAGCTGTGGTGGTGGGGACTAGTTGTATTTGCTTGGAACCTCGGATATGGATGGACCTTTATAGGAGCATTGGCTAATACCATGTGTTTGACCTATGTGACTAAGCTTGTGGAGGACCGAATGTTGAAACAAGATCACAGAAAAGAGGCTTATAGCCTGTATCAGAAGACAACCTCTGTATGGGTACCTTGGTTCAAATCCTCTCCCTTAGAACTAAAAAGTAAGAATGCTTGATGCTTTTCGTAGTGCTGTGGTTGGATAGTTGATTGTACGACCATCGTCTTCGTCTTTCTAATTTTTCGTATTTTGTGAGAGAATTCTGAGTTGTATGTGCTCTAGCAGTCTAGCCACGCAGTCACTGATTTTTGTATAAATATTTATGAGTAATGCTACGCCTTCCTAACAAATCTTCTTAGTTACTTTAGCCAAAATGCATTAAAGGAAAAACTATAAGCAGAAGCAGTTGATACCTTCAATAGAAAATCTATTTAATAAGGATTATTAAGAGATTTCAGTAGGAAGATAAGAAATTATTCCTCGGACAAGATTTCTTCTTGAAACTGTCTTTTCAGCTTCAAAATGGCTGTTTATGAGCGTCCTGATGATTAGTGTAGGTGAAGTAGTAAGTATATTGGACCGTGTCTGTGCTTATATGGTTAGGAAGGCAAGAAGACATAAAGCAATATTTAATGACAAAGCTTAATTTAATCATTGTTAGAAGCTGTGCTATTAGCAGATCAGGGATCTCATAATATTGTTGGCTTCTTAAAATTGTACAGAACTGATGAACATGTGACAAAAAAGATTCACGAATTAGTCCAATGCAACGAGAGAAGTTATTCTCATATGTTTGTTCTGACAGAAGTTATTGGATGATTAGTGAGGGAAGGGACATTGTAGAGCATTCTCAATCGGACAAGAGCAACACAAATTACTTTTTAAGACAGACTACGTAAATTACCCCAGCATACTACTCAGTATAAACAGGATAAGCCTTCGCAAGAAAAAACATTCCCTTTTGAGCGCAAAATCATCTCTATCATTTAAAGTTGTTTTTCATGGTAACATTTGAATAATTATTGCTCTGGAGAGTGCAAGCAACTTGAGGATATTCATATATTGTATCCATGGAGATTAATTTTATATTTCTTCTCATCATATTAACCTCCATAGACCACATGGTCCGGAGAATTAGTTGCGTTTGCATTTTTTTTCTAATTTTGGCCTCACGTTTTCACTTGTTAACCTTGATGTGATCAGATGACTACAAGTGCCGACTTGTAGAAAATTACAGAAACCAGATGTCACATGGTTTAGTGTATGCTTATCTAGCTGATTATGATTTAGGGAGCTGATGAGTGATCTGTGTTTATGAAGGTGACATGTATGCATTGCTTCTCAGTTGACTTTGAATAACATCCTTTAATCATGTTGTTCAGCACAAATGCACAATTGCCATCGTGAGGGACAATGATCATTGATAATGTCACCACTAGTGGAAAAACAAATATCAGATATCACGTGAAGCCAAAGTAACAGCTGGCATGTCGTGACCATTATCATTATCATTTTTCAAAAGCCATGTAAGCAAAGATAGTTGTTAAGTGTGAATTATATTATGTCTTTAGGGTCAAAAGTATACTGAACATTGATGAATATGGTTAAAGATATGGTGTATATTATTAAGTGCAAAAGACTATGGAGTTTCTCATGTTTGATATGATAATGATTTAAAAATATATTGGTTTCAGGTTTAAATTGCTATTATGGAGTATCGGCGCAATGATTAAGCTAGAAGGACTTAAAGTGATAAATGAGGAGCAACCATTTAGTGAAAATCTTCTTGAAGCTGTATTTTAGCCAATTTTTCATATCAAATATGATGGATTTGGATCTTGTGTATCTCATATAAGTTGTAGATCTCTCCTTTATCTTTCCAACAAGACTAAGATCATATCAATTAAACGAGTATAGCTCAAGTTATGTTCAAAATGCGAAATCATGTTTAGGTTGAAGTTCGCTAGCCTGCAGCTCGCTAGCTTTCTCGCTTCAGCGAGCAAGTTAGGGAGTGTAACGCCCGGCCACTTGCAAGAATCAATGACTGTCCCCACACACTAACACGAGACTTTTCAGTGTGCTTTGTCCTCACTCGCACACTTTCTGGGAAAACTTCTCAGGAGGTCACCCATCCCAGAATTGCTCCAAGTCAAGCACGCTTAACTGTGGAGTTCTTCCGATCCGGGCTACCGAAAAGTAGATGCATCTTGTTAGTATAGGTAGTACCAATTAATTCTTATAAGTCATTCCTAACTGTACCGTCCCATACCAGCACAGTCTCTAGAATCCCTCTCTTTCGGGTGTTGATTCGATTCATTCATGAACCCCTAAGCTGCAAGATTTGGCATGGGCCGCTCATTGTCCGTCCCCTTCCGCACCGGCGATCACTCCCTGCCCTTGCCAGCTCTTGGGATGTCACATGCCCACCAGCTTCCGCCTGGTTCGTCCTCGAACCACACCGTACTGGAAGAGAGGCCCTGCTCTGATACCACTTGTAACGCCCGGCCACTTGCAAGAATTAATTACTGTCCCCACACACTAACACGAGACTTTTCAGTGTGCTTTGTCCTCACTCGCACACTTCCCGGGAAAACTTCCCAGGAGGTCACCCATCCCAGAATTGCTCCATGTCAAGCACGCTTAATTGTGGAGTTCTTCCGATCCGGGCTACCGAAAAGTAGATGCATCTTGTTAGTATAGGTAGTACCAATTAATTCTTATAAGCCATTCCTAACTGTACCGTCCCATACCAGCACAGTCTCTGGAATCCCTCTCTTTCGGGTGTTGATTCGATTCATTCATGAACCCCCAAGCTGCAAGATTTGGCATGAGCCGCTCATTGTCCGTGCCCTTTCGCACCGGCGATCACTCCCTGCCCTTGCCAGCTCTTGGGATGTCACAGGGAGCAGATAGTATTTCCTCACGAATTTGCTCGTTGAGCAACGTCGTTAATGAAGGCCCATGGATCTTGTGTTATAAAAGCGAACTTTAGGATTTTTCTAATCACTTCTGACAGTTGAGGGACGACTTTGGAGCTAGAGGAGCTTTGTTCTGTATCTGAGAGGACGAAGTAACGGTCAAAGCTTCACCGTGGAGACCGATTTATGAGTTCTTTTCATGCTTTTCATTAGTTTCTTATCTATTTTCTTAGCTTCCCTGACTATGTCAGATTAGGTTCTTTTGTAGTTAGGGTTATATAGAACCAATGAATTTCTAGTGATATTTATTCCTTTTCTGTAATTTGATATTCAGTTTTATGTTATTCAATTAATTTGTTTTTCCATTCCTAGTTTCGTTTATGAATTGATCACTCATACATGAACACATGAATCTTGCATGACAATTTGGATGTTGGTGTAGGATTACGATTGGTTAATTGCTAGGTTTTGCTTGATCTAAAGATAGACTTGTGAAATTTAGACTTGTGAAATTTTCTTGTTCTTAATACTTGCCCTAGGAGAGATCACTAAGAGATTAAGATTTTGAATAGGTTAAAAGATTGAAACACCAAGAGATTGAGTTTTAATTAGTCATGAAAGAATTGTCAATAACATGAATTGAATGTTAGTTACAGGAAATGGTAGATTTATTAGGAAGACATTGTGGAAATCAACACCCTAGTTATGCTTTGCATTCTTTATTCCACACTGTTCTTGATTCTAGATTATTGTTATTGTTAGTTAATTATTTGTTCGAAATCCAGTTTTATAATTTGAATCATTATTCTAAAAAATCCTTAAGACTGATCTAACTTTAATAGCGTGAATAAATTATTACTTGATAGATCAATTCTCATGGGAACGATACTTTACTCATTCACTTTATTACTTATACGATCGATATACTTCTTGTGATCGCAACAATAATACCTACTCCAATGTGCCTTAGTCAACTGAATCAGACTGGCAAGCTCACTGGGACTCCATCCAGGTTGATTTCACAAAAAAATGTACGTAAATTAATGGTGTTCATAGAATAAAGTAATGATGATTCTTAATCTCTTTTCTGTTTTCACACACTCAGCTATTTAATATAATTTTTTTCATCAATTTAAAAACAAAAGAAAATTAATATTTTTGTTTAAATAATCATGCATGTGCGATATAGCGATATCCTATTCTTATTTAAAAGAGGTCACTTTATTCAAAAACACTTTCTAATAGAAGTAAAAGAAGTAGATTTCTAATTTATAATGTCTTATTCAATCACATCCAAAAGAGCAAACAAAGTTTATAGAAATAAATATAGAAATTAGTGCTTCTAATGTTGCAAAAGATAATTTTTTCTCTCACACACATATAAAAGTGTGTCCATTTTTTTTCTCTTTTCTCTTCACATGACTCCACACATTTTTATGTGTGTGTAAGAGATAATTTTATCATTTACAACATGACAAATATTAATCAAATAAATATAATAAATGTATTTAATATTGATATATCTAATTTCTTTTTTAGAATAATTAGTTATAAAATTAGAAATTTTGAATTTATAATTCTTAATAGTATTCCATCCAATGTTATTAAACCTGAATCGGTCATTGACTCAGTTGGGGTACCGGGTCAATAGGTTATTGGTTCAACCAATGGATTAGTAATTGAACGGCTTATATTGAATTTATGTAAAAAAGTATAATAAATATATAAATAGAAATAACACGAGATCCAAAGTAATTTGGCTTAGTAGTTAGTATTTTACTCTCCTTCCTAAGTGCCCATTTTAAATCCCAAGAGTGCAATTGGGTTGGAATATTTTGTCAAAATAATTTTCACTTAGTGAAAATTTTAAAAACAGGTTCAACCAGAAAATTGGTATCGGGTTAACACCGATTGAATCCAATTTCTGACTAGTTCACTGATTTTTGACCGGGTTTCATGCATGACTGGTTAATTGACTAAACTAAACCAATTAGTGATTCAATTCCAGTTCAACCGATCCAACTGTTTGGGTCGGTCCGATTTTAATTACATTAATTTTATCTCTCTGTAGGATGAGATAATAATGGATGTTCTCTAATTCTTGTTTTAAAAACTAAAAAAAAAGATGTTCTTAGAACTATTTTTTCAGAGCACCCATTACCAAACAAGTTTTTTTTTAAAAAAAAAACAAAAAAATGTTTTACAGAACACTTATCAAACAGGCCCTTAAGCTCCAGTTAATACGGTCATAAAAAGTATAAGGGGAAAATATTTCTGCAGTCACTTTAGATAAGCTTCTCTATAGCTATCCTTTTTTCACTAAGTACGACCGGTCGTACATTAAAATTGTATTTTCTCTCTCCGCCACATCAGCCGACAATGTCTGGGGAAAGAGAAATAAAGAACAGCTTTATTGTTATCACTAAGTACGACCGGTCGTACTTAGTGAAAAAGGGGTAGTTGTAGACAACTTTATCTAAAGTGGCTGTAGAAATACTTTTCCCAGAGTATAATTATAATGTCAAAATTTAAGATATGGAGGGAAACAAATTTTAGCAAGATGGCTAAGGGCCCGTTTAGATGGATTTTTTTTCCTCCAAAAGCTTTTTTTTAAAAAAAAATATTTCTAAAAAAAAGTCTATTTACATGCCCGCTTTTAATAAAACAGAATTCATAAAAAAAAGTCAAAAATCTATTTTTTTGGAAGCTAAAAATTTTAACTTCTAAAAAAAGCAAAAATCAAAAGTAAAATATTTTTTTTCAAAAATCAAATATTTTTATAAAAATCTAAAAAGCTTTAACTTTTGTAAAAAACGATTATAAAATAAGCAAGACATAAAAAATACTTTTTTTGAAAGCCTATCCAAATGAGCCCTAAGGGGAAATGAGAGGTAGAAGTTAGAGTCAATATTCAAAAGGATTTAAAACTATCATGTTGCATGAAATTGATTAGGTTATGTCATAAACACATCAAGTGTGGGTCCCACAAGGTTTTTTTAAAAAAAAAAAAACATCACACATCTTGAAGGGTCAGCTGGAAGGATTATTAGGACATGCAACATGATATAACTTATTCTATCTAGTTTTTTTTTTTTTGTCTATTTTTGCCTATCAATTTTCAATTCCATTATATCAGAATCTTAAAAGGAGAAAAAGAATAAAGGTCAATTGAGATTTTCTTCCTATTTTTACGTATCACTCTCTAATATCATTAGATCATAATCTAAAGAGAAAAGAGAAAGATAAATATTAATTGAGATTATAATTTAATGATATTTTAAAATGATAGCCAAAAACAGATAAATAAATAAATAAATATAATAACTTATCCCTAATTATAAATCCCAAAATCAAAACTTGGTGCTTTAATTACTTAGACGAGGTCATAAGGGGAATAAAATTTAATAAAAGTATAAAAATGTAAATTATGACGCAAATTTTTATATAAAAAATAGATTCTTTTAGTGAATATAGATAACTAGTTATCTGCATTTATTCTCAAAATGATGTCGTTTTGGGTTGAAAAATAAAAAAATTATAATAAAAAAGACTATTATAATCCTAAAATAAATTATAATTACAAAAATATCTTGATTTTTACTTCAAAATAATACGAATTTGATAACATTTAGATAAAGGGTTTTATGTTTATCATGTAACATAATATAACCTCACTTTCCTACACACATTAAAGAGGTGGGGTCCACATGTTTTTCTTTCTCTTTATCATTCCACTTTTTCTCTCCTTTTTATTATGTGTGTTAGAAACAACACTTAAATTATGTTACATAACATTAATAAAACCCTAGATAAAATGGCTTAATCCTAACGTGATCCACAAATATCTTCCTTCTTCTAGTCCTTGAACCCGCAACAGCTTAAGTTTCTGCTTAATTACTTGTCTAATGAAGTAAATCGTTATGATTTTGTTTTTTCTTCTTATCCGAGTAAAAAAGATAGTTATCGTTATGGGGGTATGATTTACATTTACGGTTGTAGCGTCCATGGGAATATCCTTTGGCACATAATAGAAATTATTTATCATGAACCAAAATTGTGTTCACATTAGGCGGGCGTTGTCTTTGTCCTATAGTTGAAATAGATTCGATGACAATCGATGGTTTCATTTGATTAGCATAAGCATCCACAAAACTGTGATGGCAGTAAGAGGAAAATGGGTTTTGATTTCACTGTATTGGTTTTGGTTGATTCCGATTTGCATCATCTCAGCACCACAGAAGCTACGTTTTGGGGGAAATGGAGAATTCAAGATATTACAAGTTGCAGACATGCACTATGCTGATGGCAAGACTACGCGCTGCTTGGACGTGCTTCCTTCTCAGTATGCTTCTTGCTCTGATATCAACACCACTGCCTTCATTCAAAGGATGATCCTTGCTGAGAACCCTGACCTTATTGTCTTCACTGGTATCCTATTCCTATTTCTTTCTAATTATGTATGCCTATGACACTGCTTCTCCTTTTTAAGCTTTCTTTTCAGATAAAAATATATGCTTATTTTGGAAACCCCATCACCCGATTATTTACTTTGTCTAATTACATGGATGAATCTTTAGACTCTTTTGGTATTGGAGCAATTGAAGAAAGGGAGACTTACATTTAAAGGACTTTTGAGGGTTGTAATTCCAAGAAGGGAATCAGTTCATAATGAATTACCAAAATTAACTTTATTTGTTCCTTTGATGGAGTTACACCTCTCCATAGTTTTCCTTTTAAGTGTAACTTTACCTTATAGTAACTACTACTTAAATATCAAGACTTTATTCTCATAACTTGTTTTTGGTAAAAAAATCTAAACAGATTAACTGGATAGAAGCTAAAAGAGTTTGCATATATTAGCTTGGTGTTTTAATTTTTTACTTTATTAAGCAAGTTGCAAGTTTCTTTGACTGTTGGTTGATCCGAGATATCGTAGCCCATTGTGCATATTCATTTTGGTGTGACAGGGGATAACATATATGGATTTGATGCCTCGGATTCGGCTAAATCAATGGATGCAGCATTTGCACCTGCAATTGCTTCCAACATTCCTTGGGTAGCTGTTTTGGGCAACCATGACCAAGAAGGATCCCTCTCCAGGGAAGGTGTGATGAAACATATTGCTGGGATGAAAAACACTTTATCTATTGTCAATCCTCCGGAAGTACACATAATTGATGGTTTTGGGAACTATAACTTAGAGGTTGGAGGAGTTGAAGGCACCGATTTTGAAAATAAATCAGTGCTCAATCTGTACTTTCTCGATAGTGGAGATTACTCCAAGGTTCCTTTTATTCCTGGCTATGGTTGGATCAAACCCTCTCAGCAACTTTGGTTCCAACGAACATCTGCGAAGCTTCAGGTACTGTTTTACCTGTTCCATTAACTAGCTATGTTTTAGGTACAGTGCATTGATTCCTAAGATCCACTAAACCGTTCGTCTTGTTTCTCTTTTCTTCTTGTTTAATAGCTGGTTATACATGGAAGTTTCTGTTGATCTTCATTAGACACACGGCTGATTTTTCTGTTCTTTCCCTTGAAAATCTTTGGATTAACCATTGACTCATTGTTCTGCAGAAAGCATACATGAATGGACCAGTGCCTCAGAAAGAACCTGCTCCTGGTCTTGCATATTTTCACATTCCATTGCCTGAACATGCCAGTTTTGACTCGTCAAACTTCACAGGTGTGAAACAAGAAGGTATTAGTTCTGCTTCTGTGAATTCTGGCTTCTTCACCACGTTGGTTGAAGCAAGAGAAGTGAAGGCAGTTTTCATTGGCCATGATCACGTCAATGACTTCTGTGGCAAGTTAACGGGTATAAATCTTTGTTATGCTGGGGGATTTGGATATCATGCTTATGGAAAAGCTGGATGGTCAAGGAGAGCAAGAGTGGTGGTAGTTAGCTTGGAGAAAACAGAGAATGGTGGTTGGGAAGATGTCAAGTCAATTAGAACATGGAAACGCCTTGATGATCAACATCTTACTGCAATTGATGGTCAGGTTTTATGGAGCAAGAGCTTTGGCGGTAAGATATCCCTGGAATACTAGGAGTACTTTATTCCTTGTTCTTAAACTTGTGCTGCAGAATCTATCTTTAGAATTACATATAAGAGATGCCTTCAGGACATAAAAGAAAATGTACTTCTGTTTATGCTTCATTCTTTGCATATCTCGGTTGATAAAAAGATACGTGGAAACAAAATTTGATTGATAGGACAGAAAGCTATAACTCTTAATAGGACAGAAACCACTAGCAGATTATGTCATTTAGCTTGAACTATAAGTTATGTCATTTACAAAATGTATTTTATTTCTTTAGCTTCTTGTTTATAATTAAATTAGCTTTATATTCACTATTATTTAATTGCTTTTGATTGATAGTATCAAGCATAAACTACTTCAAAGTTCAGTTACTCATAGGGTTAGACTGTTTTGCTAATTATAAAATACATCACATTAGTCATTGTCATATGGAAAGTTAAACTTATTGACCTATAATTGGACAGTTTAATAAACATATCCATAACCTGAAAGTTATAGTATGTGAATGGTTAGTATTTTCACTTTGTGTGGCAGTTGCATGTACAAAATACTGGATTTCTGATTCTCACTGTGTTGGCTTATTAACTTTGCCCGACTATGTTTGAAACAAGAAGACTTTGTTCTTACTATATGCTATTATTGTAGGCACCGTAGTGGCCACCTTTTAAGAGACACGCAAACGCACACTATTGTAAATCTTGTAACACAACTCATAATAACTCCTTATAGAAAGTGATTTTGATTAAATCAACCGACGATGTTGTATTATAAGTAATTGTCGTGCCGACTTTGTATGCCAAACATTTAAAAAGTTTAAACAACTTTAAGTATGTGATAAAATAGTTGATATTTTCTTTTTTTTGAGATACTACCTGTGGCTTCTGCATAACTTCTTAATTCTTTCAATTTCAAGTCGTCTCCCTTGATACGTTATTCTTTCAATTTCAAGTCGTCTCCCTTGATACGTTGTTTATTCTGGTTTTCATTGTAACAGGAAACCGCAAGAAAAAAGAAGACGGTGGCTCTTGAGAATTTCCAGTGATGCAGACAAGTGTTGGTATCATGAAGGTTATTTAGGAACGTCCAATGAGGTTTTATACATCATATGTTTTTATCAATGGAACCTGTTTAATATACATGTCCCATAATTAGATGTAGCAATACAAGAAAGCTTTGTAAAGAATAATAAAATGGAATGGAAGTTCATCAACGTGTTACAATGATTGTATGCTATGCAATTGCAACTGTCCGCACACTTGAATGATAATGTCTTTAATTTATTTTTGGGTTTTATAAGAGTTATGTTGTAGGAAAAGTGATTGTGTTATGTTATAGAGATTCGTTTTGCGTGCCGAAGTTTTTTTTTTTTTTTGCTGCGGGCCCCACAAAATGTTGTGTGTGTAGGAAAATTTTTGTAGTCATGTTAAATGATAGATGATAAACCCTTTATTTTTACGTATGGCCTGAGTATGTAGAAAGGTTTCTTTTAGCAGATTGTTGATGGAGTGTGGCATGATTTGAGTGTAGATTTCTACTTGTATGGATATTTATGCTACCAGATGATAATACTGTTTGCTACCATGAATTCACGAAGAGAGGGAATTTCAACTGGAAATTCCAGCCAGGTAATGGTGGCATTTCTGTCAATCCTGAAATTGGAATCTGGTTTGCTACCTGAATTGTTGCTTAATTAGGAGCGCATGTTCTTGGTCGGTTTAGTGGTTGAAGTTGTTCAATGTGAACTTAGTTACTGGGGGTGAAGTATAATCAATAGCGGTGCAAATCAGTAGACTAGTTGCTACAACTATATTTAAGGAATAGTAATAGAATAATCAATATGCATCAAGTTCATATTGAAATACGATTATTTAGTTAGATAATTTAAACTTCTCAAGTATATCTTTTATTTTATTTATGAAATTTTGTTGAGAAAAAATGTCAAGATATTTAATTAAAAAGTTTGGTTATGTTCTTAATTGTCTTACAAAAATTTAAGGCATTTATACTATTCTACTGTTATCCACAGAAAATATTGTCATGTTTTTACCACACAAAATATTTGGAATTAAAAACTAAAAGTGCTGCCTTATTATTATTTTTTCTAGTGAAAACCGATTTTCAACTTTTAAACCCATTGCTATTAGTACAAACTGTACATATACTAATTATAAACAAGGTTCTCAAGGAAACACAACCATTTTTATTTTTTTTAATGATGTTAGTCAACTTGACTCTTGCCACAAAGTTTTTTTAGTAGGTTTCAAAACCTTGCACTGCAAGTTCACGCTCATGATACTCAAAACTCATCCTTATTAATTGAGTATTTCGGCAAGTTAATCATGAAAATTTCGGGGTTGAATTTCAATATTTGTTAATATCCTCTAATGTAATGCAAAGAAAAATATAAATAATAAATATGATTATTTTTCTCAGATTTTGCTAAGGACTGAGTTTTCAGAAAATGTGGAACAAGGACGCAAGCTTAATGATGAAATATCCTCCACGCTGGTTATCATCTATGCACAAATGTGATCATCACCTGAACTTACATTCATGGCATCTAAAGCTTAAATAGGCGTTTGTACATTGAATTATCATTCTGTGCATGACATAGACTAGCCACATCACAAGCTTTCTACGGACATAAACACTCCTCTCATAAATCATTTCAGCTCTATTACTTGGGTTAAAGGTGTTCACCAATGTTTCTCCCAGGCTTGCAATCTCATCCAGAGCTGTTCTTAAACTTTTCACTTGGGGGTAAAAGCCTGTAGTAGTCGTCAAATAAAGAAAAAAGTGAGCACAAGCAATTCCATAATAAATGAAGTCACATTATAGAATCAAATCCTAGTAGCTGTTGGTTGAACTTACAGCAAAAATGGTAGCATGGCCAGGATCTGCAAGGTGGGCAAAGAGGTTGTCAATAGGACCAGTGCCAGTGTAAATGTGCTGGAACCATGCACCCATTACAGCCAACATTGCCAATCTCCCATTCTTGATCTCCTTTGTTCTCAACTCCTTGAGCTTCTCAGGAGAACCACTTCCCCATCCAAGTGGGTCAAACCAAAGACCACCTGGGTAACCAACATCAGTCCCTGTGAGCTTGTTGTTGGGGAAGATAGGGTCAGTGTTAACACACCCTGGTTTGATTATGTCAGCCCACCTTCTACCCTCAGCCCAGCCAATGAAAATGAGCTCAACTATGAAGAGGGTAGTGGTGTCCGTGAAGTATTCCTGTTCTCCAGCTGTGTACCATGAAGGTGTGTTTAAGATACCAATCTTTGTTAGGAATTCTGGAATGAAAATGCCAGCAGCACCCAACATTGCCCATCTGCAGTGCACAAGCTCTGCCTGAACATTCCATCTCAGACTCTCAGGATCAGATCCTATCCAATCAAAACCCACTTTTTTTGTCATTTGCATTCATCATTTCATAATAACAAGAGATAATGAATACACTGCTTGACCTGATGCAGTGACATCAAATTTGAATATTGTACACTTACCAAGACCTAGAGGATCAAACCCAAAGTCTCCTGGGAGACTGCCATCAAGCCATGGAGGAGGGGTGCTTCCTGGAAACCATAGAGGCCTGTCAACGTCAGCTGCTGCACACTCTGTAGTACTGGATCGTCCTCTAACTGGTGCTGTGTACTTATTCACCCTCAATTTCCTCCCACTAAGAAAAGAAGCTTTTGGGGTTCCCAAGGGTGATCCATTCTTCTGGGAACTGTATGCATTCGCTCATTTTGATCAATTATATATGTCTACGCATGCAATGTTTGAAATTTCATGATTGTTTAAATCAAGGTTCATGAAAGTACATATTAATTAGAACTGGAGTTTCCATCATTTTAAAAGGATCGATATATGGAACATTTCATGTACTGTTTATATTACGGTGGACTCACATAGATTATAAGTGAAAGTAATGGGCGAGTGGACAAACTTGCCTTGGTGTAGAGATGGCAACTGCTGCAATGGCAGTGGAAGCACAAGCGGAAGCCATGACAACCCCTCACCTTGATTGAAAAAATAAATGATTTACTGAGTTGCTGTCTCTGCTGATGTGTATATGTTTGATGATTGGGAAAGACATGCAAATTGGTTAATGTATGCAGGCTCTCTTATCTTAAAGGATAGGAGTGTGAATCCAGTAAATAGATGTTGGGTTGCCATGTGGCATGTAGAATCTCATAGGATAGGTTTATGTGGAAAAATCTAAATCTGGTGGTTCACAAGGTCCCTAGTCCTTGTGGCTTACATAAAATCTATTAGTTTGCATTTGGCACCACAGAAGGAGAGATTCTTATTTTCTATTTTCCCTGCTCCACACCAATTAACAGTTTTTTTTGGGACATATTCATCTTAGTTATATGTAAATTCTCTCTTTAAGAATTTAAATCAATATAACCAATTACTGGAATTTCTGACCGAAAATTAGAGTACAAATCAAATTCACGTTTAGCTCAAGTCAATCCACAAAATTTCGTTGACTTTAGTTCATTAATTTACATCTAATTCACAACCTTTTCGTCGCGTTCATTCACCAGTAAACATACTGGGGACTCGTATTAGTCTGCATTAAGAAGGATAAATAAGCTAGTCTTTGACACTAGTTATATTTTAAGTCTAGTGTGGCATGTTAAATTATAAATTTGACTTATTTTTTAAAAGGAGAGATTATACTTACTACTAAATCTTAATCGTTAACGATTATAATTTATTAGAAATTAATAATTAATTAATAAATATGACCCAATAAATTATAATCGTTAGATTAACGAAAATCAACAGTTAAGATTTAGTAGTAAAAGGTAATAAAAAAAATAAGTAATAACTATAACCTCTCCCATTTTTTAAAAGAAAAAGGTCTAATTTAATTTTTCAGGCCTTTCGAGCTTAAAGCACTTAAAAGGTAAAGAAAATGGAATTAAAGCATATCAGTAGCCATAAAATAGTTATTGATTTTCGTATATAAATTATCACAAATGTGAATGTCATCTTACATGACACATCTTGTATTCATGTTATAGACACACAAAAATAGGATCCACACCTTTATTTTATTTTTTCAATAGGACCCACATGATTTAGTGGTTAAACGGTTCCTTTTTGTTTTGTTCTCAAGTTACATTATTCAAGACTTCGTAATTCCTTAATTAAGCATCCAGGTTTGAACTTTCATAATGCCTAGCAATGCACCGATTTCAGACTTCCAACATGCATGACACATTTGGGTTGAATCTGTGAATGTTCCTGAATTAGTATCTGTGAGCTTCTCGCTGCAATTTCATAACATCCAAATACTCTGTCTGTGATCACAGGAACAGAAGCAGACCACAGCTTGCAGATAATTAAAAAACTATTTTACAAACTCCAATTTCATAGACTGCTAGAATCTTATACCGCACTTTAGTTATACCCAACTTTATCCCCTCAAGAAGGATCATCTTTTTCACTCAAAATTGATGCCCTTTGATATCTCAATTTTTCAATTTCCCTCCCCAGATAATCTAGAGTTGTGTCTGTAACATGGTTAGGGCTGCATCCAGCATCCAGCATCATTTTTAAGAATTTATAAGCATCCTTCAATCTTCCTGCCTTGCTGTGAACTTCAATTAATGTATTATAAGTGACAACATCAGGATTTATCCCACTGCTCCTCATTTGCTCAAAGAACTTATTCACCTCATCGATTCGGCCTGCCTTCCCCAGAGCATTAATGAGAGTGTTGTACATAACTATGTCAAGATAACCACCCTGCTTCAGTAGCCTATCAAGAACAGCACTGGCTAGATCTGCTCTTCCTATATTTCCTAAACCTTGTATTATCATATTGTATGTTGCTATATCAGCCGGGCAAAGCTTTTCTCCCATTTCTGTTAGAATAGCCAGAGCCTCAGTGAAGTAGCCCTTTTTGACAAATGAGCTCATGATAGAATTGTAAGTATAACTCACAGGATCTACACCTGCGTCACTGAAAATCTCAAACAATTTGCAAGCCAAGCTCAACTTTCCCTTGGCCAAAAATATAGACAAGAAAGTATTCACCATATCAATATCAAAAGAATCTAGCCCTTTCTCTTGAACTCTTTGTCCACGGGTAGGAGTAAACAGCTGGGAAGAAAAGCCAGTGGACTTCACTTGATTGGCCAATTTATCCATGTGAGGAGATGATGACCACTCGTCAATATGGTCGCAGGAATTCTCCTCATCCTCATCCTCATCTTTAGTTTTGGCATCATGAGAATCAAGGGTTATAAAGCTCGTGATCTCGCTAAAATCTCCTTTGGAAGGGAAAAATGGCGTATGATCCTTTTTCTTGCTAGGTGGATTCTTCATAGAAGCTTCCATTCCAGCCTTCCACTTGAGAACACTGGGCACCAGATCACCTTCCCTGACATGCTTCATAAGCCTGTCTGTCCAGTCCCAGCGACTGTGTTTATGAATGCTAATCAAGAGTGATGTTATGGTAACGAGGTCAACAGCAAAACCTCTGCTTTCCATTTCTTCGACCAATTGAAGTGCCTCCTCCAGTTGACCCTCTTTACAAAGTTGCAGCACAATAATGCTGTAAGCAATCCCATCCAAAAACTGGCCTTTCTTCTTGAGGTCACAGAACAGAGTATAAGCAGCTTCTGGTCTCCCGTTCTTAAGCAATCCATGAATGAGAATATTAAATGTCCAGCAGGAGGCTTTCACCCCCTGTTGAACCATTTTGTCAAACAGTTGGCAGGCTTCCGTAACCTTGGTGGCCTTGAAAAGTCCATCCAGCAGAGAATTATAAACAAGTGTATCAGGGCGAAATCCATTATTCTGCATCTGGTAAAACATCCTGGTTGCATCCTCTATTCTGTAAGTCTTGGAACAAGCTTGAATAAGGATTGTGTAAGTGAACTGATCAGGTTCATGACCTGACCCATTGAGCTCCTCCCACACAACGAGTGCATCTTTGACCTTGCCAACCTTGCAAAGCACAGTGATGAGACTATTATAGGTGCACAAATCAGGGCCAACCAACTCCTTATCCTTCATCTCTTTGAAAAGGGTTAAGGAGTTAACCAAATCACCCCAACAACCAAATGCATGAATACATATATTATAGCCCCAGGTATCAAAAGAAAACCCTTTCTTCTCCCTCAGCCTTTGGAACACTTGTTTAAACTCAACCTTCATGTCTGCTTTTCTAAGAGCAACCAACAACTCATTGCAAGCAACAGAACAGGGACCAACATCAAGATCAACATCAGCATCAGCATCAACATCAGCATCAAGAAGCTTGAAGAAGATGGAGATGGCCAAAGAGAGTTGATTTTTTCTAACCAAAGCAATGAGAAGAGAGTTATAGACGATGGGACTGAGGGTGTTGCCCAGTAGTTGTAGGTCTTCCATGTAATCTAAGATTTGGAGAGCTGAATGGAAGTTTTCGGAGACGATGAAAGCATCGAGGAGGAGCTTGAATGAATGGGAATCAAGAACGACGCCGTCTTGCTTCATGGAACGGAGCAGAGAGGGGACCTCATTCAAGTAGCCGGAGCGGCACACGGCGCGGAAGATGGTGGAGTAAGCGGAAGCAGAAGCAGTATGAGTATAAGAACGAGTCCAGTTGAAGAAATCGAGTTTCTTAGAAGGGTGGAGTGATGGGTTGGAAAGGATTTTGAGGATAATGGATTCGGTGAGTTTAAGGGATTGAAAGTGAGTGAGGTTCCGAGTTCCTGACTCGGACAGAGTCTTTGTGATGGAGGCCACCAGGAGCAGCTCTCCCATCTTTTCCGTCATTCTTATCCCATGTCCCATTGCATTCCAATCTCTGATTTTAAGAAATTTATTTATTTATTTATTTACTTACATCCAAATATCTTACCTAATCATGGTGATGAATTTCATCAGAAGATAATCTCATTTATCGATCTATTCTTTTAATTCTTGTTTTCTTGATCCGTTCTTTCCCAGTAAATAAACCTTGTTATATGGTTTTACGAACCCTAACAAAATTTGGGATCAACATTTCAAATAACAATCATCCCGAGAAGAACAGCAGTCTCTAATTGGCATTGAGCAGGAAGCATCTTTCCCCAACATGGAAGAAACAAGACATGTTTTTCCAATGAAATCAGTGACAGGAAAGCTGAAGTAGTCTCTGAAAGGGTAAAAGATATATTCTCCGAATGATAACGGGACTGGGAGTGCATCTCCCTTTGCTCAAAAAGTAACTCCTTGATTCAATATCTTATCGTCAATGTGCAGACAGATGGTAGTGTTAAAGTGATTTTGTCCTATGTAGTCTAATAGTTAGGATACTGATATTATCAATGGGTAGGATATTGTAACAATTAATTAGTGTTAGATCGATTATTATCAATCAACTTCAGCGTTAGATCGATTATATTGATTCAACGGTTATATCTATTTCCATCTTTGTATGGTTATAGTTTTTCATATTTAATACTTTATATTTATTTCCATCTTTGTATGATTATGAGAATCATAACCATACAAAGATACAAATAAATATAACAGTTGGATCAACATAATCGATCTAACGATGAAATTGGTGGGTAGTAACATTGGTAATAACACTAATTGATTGTTACAACTTACAATATCCTACCCCATTATTAATTAGCGTTATTATTATTGTTATTATCATATGGTAACGTTGATAGTTATCAGTTTATTTTATTTTTAAATCAATTATGTTCATTCAATGAATTTAGCTTTCTAATTTTTTTTATATTTTATATTTATTTTCACTTTTTATGGTTATGATTCTTTTTTTTTTTTTTGAAAACTTTTTAAAGAGGTGCAACACGAGGACTTCCTATAAGGTCACCCGTCCTAGTAATACTCTCGTCCAAGCACGCTTAACTGCGGAGTTTTGATGGAATCCAGTGCATTAGTGCTGGTGTGGTCGCACCTCAATGGTTATGATTCTTTATATTTAATGTTTTCACATTAAATATGTGAAAACATAAACGTATAAAAGTGAAAATAAATATACTTGTTGAATTAACAAAATAAAACAAAAGGTAAAGATTTTCTTAAGTCAATGAAGACAAGTTATATCCGATGAGACCAAAACGACGTCGTTTTGGGACGAAAATGAAGATATTTTTGTAATTTTAATATATTGCAAGAATATATAAATCTTTATTATTATAATTTTTTAATTTTATACGTTGTTTTAAGCTATGACCGGAGAAATATTTTTCCGTGGACCAATTAGTAATTCCGTTAATACTATCCTATATCATGTTCTAAAATAGTAAAATGTTGTTGGGTTTGAGTTGGTTTTGTCGTTTTGTTGTGACCAATCCATAGATCATTACCGGAAGTTTAGGACCTGCATTAATGAAGGAAAGTGTGGGGAAAGCTTTCTATTTATTCCCCTTTTCTTACCCTTCTTCTTCGTCCCCAACAAAGAACCTAAGACTTCACAAGTACTCATAATTTTCTTCTGTTCTGAAACTATCACACTACGCAAAATATTGTGGACACTTCAACAGTGAGTAACGAGCATACTAGTACTCATCCACTGTCTTCTAACCATGAAGCAAACAGCGAGAAAAAGGAAATGATTTCAAGCAACACAGTATCCCAACTTAAGGTGACAAAACCAAGCAGTTGCACTAGGAAAATGGAGAAGCCTATCTTGACCGAGTAACATGCCATTGATTATAACATGCTCCACAATTTGAGAAGGCTAGCCTGGGTAGGATCAGAGAAAAGCTCAAAATACCAGTTCAAGAAAGGATTTAGAAAATATGCGAAAGGTGAAATTCACGTAGATTTTACACTAGTGCAAGCTTACGCTTCAAGAATCAATGACTATCTCCACATACTAACACGAAACTTTCTAGTGTGCTTTTTCCTCACTCGCACACTTCCTGGGAAAACTTCCCAGGAGGTCACCCATCCCAAAATTTCTCCAAGTCAAGCACGCTTAACTGTGAAGTTCTTCCGATCCGGGCTACCAAAAAGCAGATGCATCTTATTAGCATAAGTAGTACCAATTAATTCTTATAAGCTATCCCAAACTGTGCAGTCTTATACCTGCACAGCCTTTGGAATCCCTCTCTTTCGGATGTCGATTCGATTCATTCATGCATGTAACCCCCCGTTGGAAGCCTGTCAGGAGCCCTTGTCTGTGCCTCTTTGCACCGGCGATCACTCCCCGCCCTCGTCAGTGCTCGGGATGTTACATGCCCACCAGCTTCCGCCTGGTTCGTCCTCGAATCACACCGTACTGGATGAGAGGCCCTGCTCTGATACCACTTGTAACACCTGGCAACTTGCAAGGATCAACGACTGTCCCCACACACTAACACGAGACTTTTCAGCGTGCTTTGTCTTCACTCGCACACTTCTCGAGAAAACTTCCCAGGAGGTCACTCATCTCATAATTGCTCCAAGTCAAGCCCGCTTAACTGTGGAGTTCTTCCGATCTGGGCTATCGAAAAGCAGATGCATCTTGTTAGCATAGGTAGTACCAATTAATTCTTATAAGCTATCTCAAACTGTGCAGTCTTATACCTGCACAGCCTTTGGAATCCCTCTCTTTCGGGTGTCGATTCGATTCATTCATGCATGTAACCCCCCGCTGGAAGCCTGTCAGGAGCCGCTCCTTATCCGTGCCTCTTTGCACCGGCGATCACTCCCCGCCCTCGTCAGTGCTCGGGATGTTACATACTGCATCTTTCTTAACATCAAGATATTCATATTGTAAGGTGACTATAAACAAAGAAATCGATGACCGTTGACATTGCAACAGAAAAAATGGAAATTTTTTCAGCTTCGATGATGCTGTATTAATTCTATTTCTGGATCACAAAACTACAGCCACCTGACAGCGCTAGGCCTTATAAGAAATGCTTGAATTTATAAGAGTATAAGTAAAACCCGAAATAGAAGTCCCCTTCTAGGAAGCCGTGTGTATTTTTATGTGATCAATTTTGTAGAGTTTCTGCAACAAACTTTTGTTGAGCCCTGACCAACACTTTCAGGGAAGGGGAGTGTACATTGTTAAAAAAACTGAGTTGTAAAAAGAAATGCTTAATCAAAACTAGAAATCTGTAAGTAGGCATCTCCTTACCAATACCAGTCGCCTAGTATCTAAATCATACCTCAAAATTTTATCCACTGACAAACAAAATGAATTAGCCTTTTGGGGGGACAAATCCTGGTGGGGAAGATAACAGACCACCAGAAATTGATTCAAAGAAAATCAGAATATTCAGATTTACAAAAGCTATATATAACTCTACTCTATTGTATATTCATGTTATCTACAAACCTATATTCACATCAACCACAGAATTTTTTAGTTTTTTTATTTTTCCTTTTCCCATAACATCCATGTACCTTTAAGTACAAAGATTTGTTCCTAGACAGACTTTTTTAACCGATAAAGCATGTATTGAATCTTCTAGCTATAAGGCACTTCAATATTAGTTAGTGGTGCTAATGGCTCCTTTTGTAGTATTGCCATTATTTTATGTCGAAGGCATCCCAAGTTGATGCAAGAAAGAATTTTTGTAGATGATCCTTGTAAATCTTGTTTAAGATATAGCTAGTTATTTTGAGGGCGAATTGCTGGAAATTGCATGCAAGCTAACTGCAATACTAAGGGTGGAGGGAGATACTTCGAGATTCTCGCAAAGAAGAATTTATTTCCGATGTTGGGCAGGTTCTTCATTTGGATCTTGGACACTCTGTTAGGCCTTGTCCTGGATTTCAGTCGAGGACAGTAACACTTTCATATTTTCCTTGATCTCTTATCTCACCCTACACATGGACCAACGGTGCATGGCAAAAGTAATTTGCAAATATTATTACTCTCCTCGTAAAATACCATGATATATACACTCCAATACATACTACGTTTCCCTTTGCCTGAAAATATTACCATCTCTATATTACATTACTTGTTATGTGGGTCGTCATATTTGGAATTTTTGAAGCAACATCATATGTAATTTCCAGGTAATCATTAATCTATGTTGATTGATAAAAATGAAAATTGCTCATAGGAAGAAAAAAAATTAAAATATGGTGAGCCGTTCGCTTTCATGGATGAGGAAGAAGATTCTCATACGCGGTAAATTTAGTACAAACACGGTTTCAGGGAGTGGGGTCTACTTCATTACACGTGTCAAAACTTGTCATGTCACAAGCATACTCTATGCGAGTTAAAAGGTAGCTTCTTAGTTAAGCCATACGAAGTCAGTCAATGCACAATCTTATGGTAATGCATTTACAAACACAAACTTTGTAACTTATCAAAGCAAAACCAAACCTGAAGAAGGAAGCAGTTCTTTTGCTCTACTCTCTTTACTTCAGTTGTTTCATCCTTTGTCACTCCTTCCTCTCTCTTTTATTAATATTAAAACTTCAATAAGAAATGGACAGCCCAGCATCGATGGGGGAAACAGTGCCTCTGGGATATAGATTCAAGCCGACAGATGAAGAGCTTGTGGGTCACTACCTGAAGTACAAGCTGCTGGGTTATGATTCCAGGGTTCAGAATGTCATTGCTGAGGTTGATGTTTGCAAGTTTGAGCCTTGGGACTTACCAGGTATAGCCCCCTCACTCGTGAAAAGTAATGGAAAAAAAAAAAACATATCTTTGTTTTTTCTAATTTAAAGTTCTAACTAAATGGTGTTTGATTATGATTTTTTGTTTTCTTCCTTAAATTGTGATATTAGCGCTTTCCAAGGTAAAATCGGAAGACCCAGAGTGGTTTTTCTTCAGTCCTCGCGATTTGAAGTACGCAAACAGTGACAGGTCTAACAGGTTAACCAACGCTGGCTACTGGAAGGCCACTGGTAAGGACAGGAAAATCAAGACACGAGACACCAACAATGTCATTGGCACCAAGAAGACCCTGGTTTTCCACAGGGGTCGTGTTCCTCATGGTGTCAAAACCAACTGGGTAATTCACGAATATCGTGCAGTTACATTTCCTGTTGACAAGGTAGGGGTTTTAATGTTCACTATTCATGTTTACTTGATTAACATAACATTGCTTCTATTTGGAGTCCTTCCTTGTACTGGATTTTTGTCATCTCTGCACGTTGCGAAACTAGAAGTTCCGTAGATTTTGGCTGGTTTCATTTTGAGAATAGAAAGTTAATTGGCTCTGTCTTATACTTAATTTATGACCCAATTTTCTCAAATTGTAATGTTCAGTAACAATTCATCACTGATTTCCATTTATCTGCCAATTCTATAATTTCTATTGTTTATTTGAAGCATGAACTTCATCTGTCTTATTTCACGTAATGGAAAAATATGTAAGAAACCATTGCTGATCATGGCTTTCATTTTGCAGAGAACTTTTGTCTTGTGTCGCTTGATGAAAAAAGCTGAGAAGAAAGTGGAAGGCAGAACTGATGAATTGATCAATGAAGCGGAGCCTATTGTTGCTGATCATGAAAACCAGGCAACAGATGATGGAATTCCAGATGTGAGTAAAAGCATCCTTGCGGGACAGATTGACAACTGATTCCTAGTTTATGTTTTTCATAACAAAACAAGCTATGAACTGACACTTGGATTATATTTGCTTCAGGTATTTACTTTGCCAGAAGTGACTCTGGAATCAATCTTTCTAGCACCACCTCAGGCAGACGAATATGACTTCCCCTCACTACAGTACTCTCCAATTGTCACTGATCACGAACCATTCCATACCAACATCTGCTTTGAGAATGAGAACAGTATCAGGCAGTTTCCATTTGATACTACCGAAGACGAAGACAATATTTTGTTCTTGAATTCAGTTTTAGTTGATGAGGACGTTTTCATCAACGAAGAAAGAAGGGATGCTTTTGTTAATGAATCCATCCACTCAGAGTCATTGAGAGGGGTATATTATAAAAGCAGTGAAACAGACGCTGAACTAGTCTCTGTACGGGTAAGTATATGGACAAATCCTTGCACGGACAGTGCCTATACACCATTCGCAAGCAATTCAAAATGTTTGTGAGTTGTGAGTCTATAGGTATTATGCCCATGCAAGAAATGCTCATATAGAAAAATATATTCTCTAAATGATTTTGGAAGTAGTAATGATGCATATCTCGTACCTAGATTTCTAGTAAATAGATTCTAAATTTTTGAGGAATTAGGATGTCTCCTTATCAACACCTCAAGGATTAACTTGATGTATTTATTCAATGTTGAAATTGTTACAGGGCACCACATCTGCGTGTAATAAACATGCTGTTTCAAGCGGATGCCAGGTATTGAAAATAGTTAAAACATCACCAGATGCTGGTCATCTTCCGTTGTCTTCTAAAACTGAAGTAAACAGAGAGAAAAAGGACAGTACCTTTGGTGATAATTTCTGGGGAGGGGACTCTTCTGGTGATTCAACTTCAAATGAACCCTTGTCTATGTTGGTTACCGAGAATATTATCTCTCCTTCAGCTCCAACAGCTAGCTTTTCTTCAACTTCAAGAAGATGCAAAACTAAATATCAAGCGAGATCAAACAACTCTGAGTCACAGAAAGCTGCTCCAGGAAGATCTCAAACACACAGAAAGGTTTCAAGCAAAGCAGTATACCACCGGCATGAGGTGAGAAACCTGTACTGAGGAGAAAAAAGTAGAAGCCTGTCTTTTCTGAGGAGAAAGGCACTTCAATTGAAGCAGTTTTTTAATTTTAGCACAACATTTATAAGCCTTTGCTCCATATGATGTAATCTGCAGGTGCAGAAGGAAACAGACAAACTGGAGTCAAACAAAGATCAGAATAAAGCTCAAGATGCCAGGTCAAGAATGAATTTGGAAACCACAAGCGATCAATCACCTGTAGCCAATAGAAAGGGTTCTTTCATCTACCTGCAGACACCTTCAATAAGTCAAAACCCAAATCCGCGCTCAGTGTATCTTATCAATGTAATCATAGGGTTTTCATTGCTGATATTCACTATTTGGGATATGCTATCAATTGGGAACTTGTGCTAGTGCAGTGGGGTAATGGTTTAGTTTACCTGAGTAGTGCTGCTTGTTTGCATGGTTTTGACTTTCATCAAAGATACACAAGGTGAAATTCAAAGGGGTCTCAATGATGCAACCATACTGCATCTTTCTTATCATAATGATAATTCTATGTCCAGAGTTTGTAGCTTTTTTCATGGTAATTAATTTTGCAATTGTAGACCTGATACTCTCTAATTTAAACTAGTTATGTTATATACCTACGTTCCGAATAAAAGATTGCTGGAATTTTCTTACAGTAGCCAATATATTTGTTTCCTGTGGAGCATTGTGTTGTTATATAGGTAGGCCAAAATAATGCTTCAAAAGAAGAAACTAGGTTGCAGGGAGGGCAAGTAAGATCAAAGCTTCCTTTTGACAAAATTTGTGTGAAGGAGAATATTGTAAGATCATCTTGAAAAACCCAAACATCAAAAAAGATGTTTAAGGAAAATGACAAAAATGTTTAAAAGGAATTTGCTCGGTGCAGTAACAGTGTAAAGCTCGATCTTCAGACTACAGACGCAAATAATGAGCCAGCCTTAAGTAACAGACAAATGTGTCTTAGGCAGGTAGTAATTAGCAATCTCATAACAAAAAACTAGAAACACATAAGCCTTTAGCATCAACCAGAAAAACAAATAAAGTGCTATCAGATGGCCAACAAGCTATATCCTTGAAGCTAACTCTAAATCAGAATCTTTACCTTGAGAGTAAAGTCATGCAAGGAAGGTTTGTGCAAAAAAGAACAAGGAAAAAAGTACGAATTCAAAAGCAAAATATTGAAATATAACTAAGCAAAGGCACTCGAAGAGCGAGAAAACTACTACACTTCAAGAGTATCAACTACCCTCGCCAGAAGTAGCAATTAAGGGCAACAACTTGCCACCCAGCAAGGAGTTGACGATAAATTCATACAGAAAAAGCCTGGAACAATCAAATAAAGGCAAAACAACTCAATGAAAGTGCCAGGAATAAGGGAGAAACAAAGGAAATGAGCACGTGGGGCTGATCCAAAGCATAACGTTAGATAGTAGAGCGGAAAATATCACAATTTACCACTGGGAAAGTAGAATAAATATACTTAGAGAATGCAGTGTGTGACTTTGAAGGTTCACAGAACCAATGATATCAAAGCCCTTAATTTAAGAGTCTTTCGCCAAATTAAGATGCTTTGTTGGGTGAGCAAAATGGCTTTACCATTAAATCAAAGGCAACCATACCCACACAACTGATCTGTCCAAACTAATTACTGGTATGAAGTTAAACAAAAGTAAAACCATATCGAACGAGGCTATGAATCAGCTCTTCCAAGCATTTTATCAAACATTATGCAGTCAATATAGCCCGCAGACTCTTTTGAGTCTAGAAAATGAACGACATTGTACCTAATCAATTCATATATATAATCTAGGATACAAATATAAAGGCCACATGAGATACAGAAGCTAATCAATATTCTAAAATGGATTAAACAGGAACAAATTAAGCATGCAACATAGAGTCTGCATACAAGAAGCAAACCCAAGAAGAGAAAAAAAAAAAAAAAAAAAAATTCCCAAGTACATTGATTCCACAAAGAGGAATATAGCATGGATAAGATGGAAGTTAGTGGGCAATGAAGATGGTAGCCACATTGGTCGGAGACGAAGACAGACATTGAATGAAGAAGTACAGTACTTGTCACGTGGTTTGTCACAAAGGATAAAATCATAGCCGTCCGATTCAGTTATCCAACGACTCATATATAAGTTAGGTGAAACTTCAACCAACCATTACTCCATTTCCCTCTCTCGGTAACTGCAACCTAGCTAGGACCAGGAGTATATATAGTTAAATAATCCACGGCAAACAAATATTATTTTTTTTTTAAGTTACTTTACATAAGATATAGTTTTGGGTTAAAAATTATAACGTATTTATAATTTTAATTTATTTTAAGTTATAATAGTTTTTATTGTTTTAATTTTTTAATTTTTCAACTTAAAAATTATCTAAAGTAACGATTAAATAAATTTTTCCATTATTTGTTATACGAAAATAGGTTTCTGTTCTTTACTAGTTGTAATAAAAAAAAAGTGAGACCCGCCGATGCAAAAAAAAAAAAATGAGATTTGCCTATGCATTCCGAGGATACACTGTTTGTGGCAACGCAGAAATAGTTTTGTGTATGTTTATATTTTTATAAGCAAACGATTAGAAGACAAAACCATGCAGGACAACTTAGCGAACGTGGACACTGCCATACTGGAATGGAGACCACCACGTAAGTATGTCCCAAATGGGTGCCACCAAAGAAGACATTCTCTTGTTCCTTTCAATTTTGGTACCATGAAACGAAAACAGACAAAAGGAGAGCGAAACCTTCACTTAATTCATGTAACTTGAATAAACTAGTTCATTAGGAACGTTAGCCACCTAATCTAAATATTTACATACAAAATGTTTACGACTCTTGTTTTTATTTGTTAACAGGCCACCATCTCTGTGTGTGTGGCTAGCTCTGCAGGCTGCATATATGGTCGACCTCAACCGCAATCAATGAGCATGCATCTGAACCGCTATCTTATTCATTTTGATAAACATAGAAAGCCAGCAATTAATGTGCATGCATATGATCCTTTGTCTTATTCACTTTTGCCTTCCACTCTCCCATTCTTTCCCCTGAGATATGGTCCTTCTTGCTTTTGTTTCATATAATTATGTACTTCTTCCTTTTTTTTCTCTGAGAACCAGCTCGGTATTTAAAAATTATTTTGAAGTTCAATAAACAAAATCAAGTTCTTTCCGCTCGAACTAATAGTTAATTTTTGGTATATGAATAAGTGAAAATGAAATAAAATTAAAATTCTCTTTCTCAAAAAGTTAGGTTTCTGAATTATTAATTTTTCTGCATGAAATTATAGGATCTTTGTGTCTATATAATTATTACAAGATTGCATGCTGTTGAACTGTTTTATTTAGCTCGTTAAATTTGACAATGTCTTATAAGAATAAACAATGTTCACCATATCATGATCTGCATCATAATAGGTCCTTTTATCGGTCGCTTCAAGCATCAATGATTATCCCCATATACTAATACGAGACTTTTCAGTGTGTTTTTTTTTCACTCGCACACTTTCCGAGAAAACTTCTCACGAGGTCTCCCATCCCAGAATTGCTCCAAGTCAAGCACGCTTAACTGTGGAGTTCTTCTGATCCGGGCTACCGAAAAGCAGATGCATCTTGTTAGTATAGTTAGTACCAATTAATTCTTATAAGTTATCCCAAACTGTGCAGTCTCACACCTCCATAGTCTTTGAAATCCCTCTCTTTCGGGTGTCGATTCGATTCATTCATGCATGTAACCCCCCGCTAAAAGCCTGTCAGGAGTCACTCCTTGTCCGTGCCTCTTTACACCGGCGATCACTCTCCGCCCTCGTCAGCGCTCGGGATGTTACATAAACCCATTGAATGAGTGCTTGTTTTGAGAAGATAAACTATCAATATTTCTTAATTTAGCTACAGGGCCAAATATCGCTCCTCATATTAAGTTGTGGGTCGCTTAAAAATGTTCTTTTGCAATTTGGTACCTTAACCTTCTTAAGTCTATTGCAATTTGCAATAGAATGAGCCAACTTCCAAACTTGTAACTCCCCTAAAACCTCAACCCTAATTAACAAGTTCATAATCTTGGCCTGATCATAATATTACTAAGTGTTAAATATAGTAAAGGAGGTAGTTTAACTAAAACCATTGTATGTGACTCTTTTTTTTCAAAAAAATTAAGAAGTAGAGAGGTTAAAGTGCCTACAGAAATAATCTAAACGGTTAAGAATAATATAACCATTATCCTAACACAATTTTAGATTGAAGTGATTCTTTACAAGGTATCAGAACTTCAGTGACCATAAGGTCACGAGTTGCGTGAGGAGATGTGTTAGAGAATAATATAAATCCTTAAAAAAACCCTTACCTAACACATTATAATTTTGGGTTGAAATGATTCTTTATACTAATTCTTCTGTGTGCTCATTCGGTTGATATTACAAGTTGAGCAAGTTGTGTCAATCTTCATTAACCTTTATATATGTGTGTCCTATTATACTTTTCTTAATTAATTTCAGGTATCAAGAATATAAATTTTAACCCTCTATCAAAGTAAGAAATGTAACAACTGAAAAAATCATTTCCAATGTGAAACTTACACGAATAAAAAAAGGTTTTAATAGGTGATGACCATTATCCCGAGCAGGTCATAGTGGCAAGTCGATCCTCCAAGAGTCCTTTCTCATTCAATTCTTTTTTATGTAATAAAAAATCAAGTTGTGTTATGGTGAAAAGAAAAACTAAATAAAAGTTTTGTACTACGTACATATGGTGAAGTGGGATGTGGTCCAATGATTTGGATTGATCACTGATGGACGCTGCATGCGCCCAATGATCCAATTTTCTGTTAATTAATGGGAGAGAAGTAAGGGCGAAACTTCTGCTAACTTTATGGTACAATCTGCTTTATGTTCATCGTAAATAAATAATAATGCAACCTCCCCTCCTCCTCTTAATTAGCCCTAACTTCTACTTTTATATATAGGGTGGGGGACCCTTCAACGAAAGGCAACTGAGATCTAGCACTCCTAGGTGATTTTACCGATATGTCTATTAGGTTAATTATACAATAAAGTTTTACTTTTTTTATTATTATATTTAATTTTTGATTTATACGTTATCATATTAATTTCTTTGTTAAATTTTGTTTATATGATCTCTGAAATATTAATTTGTTAAATGAATAATTGTTTTAAAATAAGTACAATAGTGCTTTTAAAAAAATAGAGACTCTTAATTACTGATATTATTTGAGCGAATACAAAAAGGTTAAAAACTTCATGTTACATGAGAAGAATTCTTTTTCCACGCACACAATTAACACGTGGATCCTACTGATTTTCTTTTCACTTTACACTTTTCAACGGGATCCACATGTTTATTGTGTGTATGGAGAAGACATTCTTCTCATATAATATAAGAAGTTTTTAACCCATAGAAAAATGACATGTGAGGAGATCGAACATCTCAACAAAGCTTTCTAATCTTAAAACTAAAAACGTGTTATGTAAGGGTTTCCAGCTTTAAGACAAAGTTTTGGAAAAGAAGAATGATACCTGTAGTTGCTGATATATGCTACCTACTTTCATTAAAAAAAATAGGTTATGACTCTTAAATATGATTATGTGCATA